GAATACATGGAAATGATGTTAAACTTGACGATTTAACCGATTCTCAGGCAATATCAAATAGTGCTTTCAAGTAAATTACAAAAGTGTAATTCTTGATGACGCAGTTCTTCGGCACCAAAATCCATTTAAATTTGTCATCATTAAAAAGTAAAGTCATTGCGTGCAAAAGTTTTTAATCAGATTACATTACTCATGATGGTTTGCCTAAAGCGTTTTTAGTATAAGGGACATAATATCATAGGGCCGTTTACCTTTTGTGCAATCGAAGCCCTCGTACCCAGTCCCCGTGCAGTCACACTCATATGTGAGAATGTGGTCGATACAGAATCCTCCGTTGCTGCATTGAGTTTGAGGTTCGTCAGTACAAGCGTTGTCGCACTCGGCGACCGCAAAGTTCTTTCTTCTAAGCTTGGCTTTAGTGCCTTTTCCATTACCCTTACGATACATCAARTCACCAATGCAGCCTTCGAATGTGAAGCTTAAAGACAAAAAAAATAAGCAATTGATTTTAGACCGTTATTTCAATCAGAAACCATGAATTAATAATTTATAGATGTTATTGAGTATATGGTTGTCAATATTGAATTAAACCTAAGAATGAATAAGCGACATTTTCCCGTTATTTCAATAATTTCAAAATGTAAAGAACCCAATTAAAGACTATTGATGWAGTTGTTATTATAACAGGTTGGCTAAATCACCCTTAAATACAATCATTAAGAAACCAAATATCAAAAATGATTTCAACTTAGCAATTAAATTCACCTTTTACTGSCAGCTTCGTTAAAAATCGATGGACTTGCCCATCTACCAATAGACGGGAGAAAACCTCTTGAGAACAAGTCAATACCTCCAAGGTACATGGCAGTCCAACGTCGTTTTCGTAAATGATCGTATCTGCCTGCATTTGGACACATTATGACTTTTGGTTTCGTCATTTTGTTCACAGAAAATGAAATGGATGTATCACTGAGACCCAGAGTTACCCTGTGCCATTGGGAATCCGAGAAATCTCCTTCAATSATTAGTTCTTCTGGTTCTCCTGCGCAAAATGTGATATAAAATCTCAGGCGAAGACGTCCATCTACGATGAAAACATCAAAATAGTCATTGCCGCGGTTGTTGCGTTTGTTGTCCTGATAAAGTAATAAACCAGTTCGTTTATGTGTTTGAAAGAGGAAAGAAAGTGTGCCATTTCGAATCGAAAAATCCCAAGGATCGTACTCAGCTTGTTGGTCWGCTTTTCCCGTGAAWTGAAGACCAGCTCCAGCCGCGTCACCSATTTTTGCGAGGCAAAAGTGTACAGTAGAGCAGAGAAGAAGAAACAGCATGGTGTACCTTGAGACCTGGTGCCAGTGAAGACTGTCGTGAAATCTACTCACTTAGTTTGACGGTTCATTGTATTAAACTCAGGTTTGAAAGGCGGGAACGCTCCAAATAATGGATAACTTTTCTTATCTCAAGAAACCATGACCTTATTGGCGCAACAGCCGTGTTTTGCAACCAAACTACTGATGTTATCTCATCTCTCTCCGCGTATATCCCGATTGCTCAACTTCAGTTGTATCAAAATTTGTAAAATAAACAATGTGTGTGAATTACACGGCTAAACTTTACCATACAAAACAAAAGACCAATATTAAAACGAGATAGACATTGTGCAGGCAAGCAAGCACGCAAACGAGATAAAAAACAAGCAACTCTTGTATACATTAACACACAATCAAAGCCTTTCAAACTACCTCGGGGAGATTTCGTTTGTGCGTAATTATAAAAAGCCCAGTAGGAAACCTAGTTTTTACATTCATTACTGSTAGAAGTACAAATATTTTGATAGCTTTATAAAACAGAGAGAACGGTATACGTTGGGTTATAATTGGATGGGAAATATTGCTTTTAATGGATATGATTTGAAACCGTAAAAAAATCGATAATGGCACAAAGAATTGAAAAAAAGTGAAACGGAAAATCAGTAAAATCTATCCAAAAGTATCAATATCTTTGAGTAGTTTATGATTCAATGATTTAGACATTGCTTTCTCAAATTGTAGTAAATTTTCATTGAATTCAACAAGTTCATTGAAACATTATTTACTATAATATATTCCAACCATAACGTAAACAACATTAATCTGTATTCTCGTTCTGTGGCCGTGATGGCATAGAATAGTTTATAAACTCAACTGAAATCTCAGCGAATTGTACATATTTTGTGCAAATTAATCTTCATAACCAAACGCCATGGCTGCTACAAATATAAATATCGTTTCCAATTTTTTTTTAGTTTAACAGTTTTTTTAAACGGTTTGCCGCGTATAATTATTTTATTGGAATATGCGATACGTTCGCTTTATCGTTGATCTTTTAGGGTTTGTTGCTTTGGTTTTCCAGAATTTTTTCGACCTTTACTATTGCCGCCCGCTATGATTTTTAAATTTTTTGATTTTTTTWAAAAGTCTACAGGGATTGACTTTTTCTCGATAAGTTTTGATGGAGAAAACTTATTATGAATAGATGACACAATTCCTCTCATCCCTGTACGAGTACTTACTTTTAAAATAGCTACAAAACAATTATAAAAATATTCAATAGTTTGCAGTAAAATTTATTCATTTGTTTAGTCATTCTGTGTTACGAAAAAGACAAGAAATAATGATAAAAATACTTTCTGACGTTGAAACAACCTTGGCCTTTACGATCGCACGCGCGTCGAATTTTCCCGCCTTTTTTTTGTCACTGTCACGTGACGTTTTGCTACGTGATTCATACTTTATCTTGACATCATCTGAATGAAAAACTGAAAAGTTTTTAATTTTTCATTCCGGTTTCTGATACAATCCATCGAAGAGCATAAAATGTCTTTGAGAGAGTTTTCAAATTCTTTTAATTCTGCATACTTGCAAAGTTACTTAACTTGAACGACGTTCTCATTATTTTTTATCGCCTTCTGTCATTTCAGAAATGGAATTTGTATTTCGTGATGCACAATTACCACAGAATTGCTTTGTTTCGATACAAAAACCAGTGTAAATATATTAATTGTGTAAATTGGTTAATGTGTAGTTAGTGCTTTCCTTACGGCCGCTATGTATAAAGACTACTTAGTTTGTGTGCATTGTTAGTTGATCTTCAMTTGATAGAAGCGTAGGAGATTTGCGTAAATCATGGACAAGATGGCTGACACTACTTAGGAATGTTAGCATTACGCATCAATGCGGCTCGATTTGAGTCCATAGTTTTCCARATCAATCCTTTATGGGACAGGATCAGTGACAGGATTCTTCTGCGAGCAGCCGTTAGTTCAACGGAGGAAGGAAAACTTAACAGAAACCCAAGTCACAAACCACCGCTCGTGAAATGTTAAGAAAAAAGAAAACTCTTTAGACATTTTCTAATACAGAAAAATGTATAGATTATATTCAACATTAATATTTTTTTTGATATTTTCAATTCATGATTCTTTCATAATGACATATCTAATTAGGACTCCTCTGGAAGACTMCAATGTCACGTTTTATTTGACTCGGTTATTTTCAAAGGATGAGTACAAAGCTTGGGTTTCATTATTTTCTTCTTCCGCTTCAACGAGCGCTTCAACGAGCTGTCAAAGAGATTTCTAAACGGGTACATACAGTTTTCTTGACGATGCACACATTAAAAWGCYGCTCTCTAGAGTCATTTTATTCTTCTGCRGCACGGTTTCTCCATCACTGCTTACTCATAACGTAGGCATTGCGTTTGTAAAGATATATTCTCCGATGATTATCACTAATATGTCGAAATAACATGACTTGTTTTGCCATCATCAAACCACATACGACGAAATGCATGTACGACAGCATACATGAAACCATTGCGATGATGGATAAACTCTGATTTATAAAAGCTGCGAGTTATTGCATAACATGCAAAATGTCAGCTTTTCAAAGTGATAAGATAAGAAGGGTATTCAAACAAAAAAAAAATCGTATTCTTTTAAGGAAATCCAATTAATCAATGGAAGTTTACACTGACTTACTTCTATAGGAAACATATAATTGGGCTTTGGAGCTGGAGACCAGCAATTTAGAGCTTCGATCAACAACCTTGTTCCACTCTGCAAGGATCAGTTCCAATTCCCATAACTCACTTCCCAATGGATCCTACAAGTCCCCGCGTATTACCTCTTGCCTTAATAAGCAAAATTGAAATCAAGATCATTTCACATTCACCATCCACAGAAAAGTTTTACTTTGAGCTCTCCTTTTTTTTAGCTCTCTCCGCCACCGGTTGTAATCACGTCGAGATGTTTATTTTGCTGTTTGCTTCAAATGATATGAAAGTGCCAAGACTTTGTACTAAGTTTAAATATTGATTTCTTCATAGTTTTCAAATCATCCTTTGCCTGAAAACCAAACTAGTACTTGCAGACCGTATGACAAGCCATTGAACTCGAAATTGGTTAAGGTACAGTAATACGAGCAGCAAAATTGTACATTTTTTGTGGCAACATTGCTACAAAACAAGTTGGAAAGCGATGTTGCGCGTTTTACTAGTGGCAAACCAACTTTTTGCTACAGAAAGTAAAAGATGGTTCTACTTTCTGCAACAAAACTCGAAGATGTTTCCCGTATTACCACAGCAACACAACTTTACTTGCAGCAAAGTGACGTCGCGCGACAATCAGCCGACTGCATTGGCCAATCAGAAATAAGGATTTGCTAAACCTGCATCAAAGACAATTTGGCTCGCCAGAAGTAAAACGCACAACATTGCTTTCCAACTTGCTTTTTAGCAATGTTGCGAGACAAGTTGGACGATTTTGCTGCTCGTATTACCGTACCTTAATACTGAATGTTTTGTGACCCCTAAACTGCTCCTGCATCGCCACATAGYGGCATCTTACCTARACGCCAAGCACATACTTGTTTACATATTCGCGCGTATGGTTGCGGCCAGGAGAAGCAAAGACTTAATGTAACATGCAAAAAAAAAATTTGTTCAAAATTTTCCTGTCGGGATGTATGGCCATGRATGCTTCCTTAGCTAGAAAACTTGGGCACAGGCCGCGATCGTTGCACTATACATTTATCTTTGATTCCACACACAGACTATGTGGAGTGRTATGTAGAAGATTTCATTTAACAATAAAATATGATCATTAATCAAGTGTTTTATATCATTCTATTTAATGGAGCTTTTTATTTTTCCTCAAAATAAGATCACCAGTATTTGTCTTGTTATGCGGTAGCGATAGTTAAAAGTATAAAATGCACTCTGTAATTACTTCAATTAAACTAGAAGTTGAATTAATGCAGTGTCTTTTGCAGCTTTGCTTTTAATTTTTAAATTTTCTTAATCTTACTAGTTATTTATCTTTTTAATAGCTACTAATTGCTATTTCTTTTTTATGGACTTTTGATTTTTATTGAGTCTATCCAAATTCATGACGAAATAAGCATCAATGCTTTTGTCAATAAGGCTTTATCGACTACATGACTACAGTAGTATACTATATGCAATTTGCATCAACATTTCTCAGTGTGTTAAGACAACTGAGGGGCCGTATGTCTCCATGTGATCAAATTAACACCGTGATAATATGACGTCATCACTGACATCATCATTGACGTCATCATCCATTTCATCAGTTTTTGATCTCGATTCCTTACTCAATCACCCAGTTGTTTTGGAAAATAGCAGCAAGGCCACAGACCAGCACAACAGCGATCTGAAAGAATGGCTTTGCTGCGGTCGATAGCTTGAAGACACGGTCGGATGTCAGTGTAGTATTGACAGTTGAGTTTGTGTCGTCCATGGCAACTGTGTACGAGAAAAAAGAATTTTTAACAGCATGATCAATGTTTTTGTGGTATATCACATAGTGTTTAGAGGTATATCACATGTAAGAGAGAGGAAATTCGACGGTTTCCAATATATTGCTGACAAGGAATACAAAACCAAAACGCACATGAATTAAACAAAACAAAAATAGAAAAACAAAAATCACCACGCGCACGCGTTTACAAAAATTCAATCGTTCGCTATTTCTCTTTTTTTCTCTTCTTTTTCTTTTTCTTTCTTTCTTTTTTCTCTGTTTGTTTGTTTTTTTCTTTAGTAATAAGCCGGTCCCAGATAATAAGGTATCAAACGACTAGGCACATCAGTATAGGAAAAGTTAAAAGGAAGCCCAAGGAACTAATTTGTCCTAAACAATTGTCTACGCCCTTGGACTCAATTATTTACAATCGAATACTAACCTTGCTGGTCGCAGTATCTCCCAACATAACCAGTACCTTGACAGTCACAGCGCATAGTCACAAGCCTGTCGATACATTTCCCTCCATTTTTACAGGAGTTCTCCAGCTCACACGCGCCTGCGCAGTTCATTGTKGTTCCTGATGACTTCCTGTATCTGATTCGGCGTAGTTTCTTATCGCCATTACTGTAGCGAACTCGTGCAATGCAGCCCGTAAATCTGAACATATGATAACAATAACAACGCCTCGTGAGTGTGTTTTTTTTTAAGTCAGTGAAACATTTTTTTTAGATAGTCCAAAACTATTGCATTTTAAATTTTTTTTTCACACACTAAATATGATTTTGCCTTGCCTTAATAAATCATTTCTTCTACCATTTCATTTCTTTTCTGTTTTTTTTTTCTTTCTTTTTTTTTACCTGTGCTCAATTGCGTCGATTAAAATAGTAGGGTTTGCCCAGTGCCCCATCGGCCTAGAGAAAATAGGTATCCCGCCCAAGTACAAACTCGTTTTACTAGGCTTTGGCTTAGCGGGAGACTCAGAAGTCGTCTCACAAACAATCGACTCAGCCTCAACGCCGTCAATGGAGATAGTAGTTTCTGTAAAGTTTCGTTTAACTTTCAAATGATGCCATTTCAAATCAGTAAAGGTGCCGTTCAGAAGCGTATTCTCGCGGTTGTAACAGTTTCCCAGTCTCAGCCTAAGCCTGGCTTTTCCTTGAACTAAAAACACATCAATCCAATCCATCCCTTCTCCATCGTCTTGGTAGAGAAGCAGCGCGTCTTTCTCTGCWGTTTTGAARTAGATTTCTATAGCACCGTTGTTGGAAAGATCCCACGGTTTGAACTCAGCAAATGGAAGGTTAGACCCATTGAATTTGAGCGCCGACTCTGCTGATGYYAAAGCAATTAGYGCGAGCCAAATCTCCAGATAAAAGCTGCTCATGTCGTTAAATGAAAGGAGGAAATTAATGAGATAGTTGGCTCTCACAACGCATCTAGTGTGAGCTTGAAAGGTGAATGCTGTTCATTCATTCATTTGTGAAAGAATGAGACCAGATAAGGACATGCTATCATTTCTCCATCAATAGCCACATATTACGCTACGGTGAGCCATGATTGGTTGAAAACAATCACGTGATTAATCACCTCTTTGTTTTACCTAAGTTCAACATGGAAATGTCTTTAAAAGTGGATCTTGACCAAGATAACAGTATTCACAATCTTTTTGTTAATTAAAGACTTAAACTGACAATCATTTGGTTATCAAAGAAAGAAAACTAAAGAAATTGGTCAGGATATAGAGTATAAATTCGCTGATTCGGAATCTGTATGTTCTACCGAACAAAGTTAGAGCAGACCTCGAATCAGTGTTCTGAGTGACTATGGCATTGTATTAACGTGTATTAAGARCTGATATTTCACTACATCGAGGTCAAATATTAATTCTGACATTTTTTTGACAAATATTTCATATTTACTATGAATGAAACTTTCCAGTTATCTTTCTGTAGTAAATACAGAGCAGGTGCAATGAGTCTTAGCCCTGTGTTTCATAAATCGTAAGAGTGCTGAATTGTATTCAAACAATATCAAACTATAGTTTCAAAGCTATGATTATAGTATTGAAGGCCTGGATAAGGAGCTTTTAAACACAGCAAAAACAGCAATAATGAAATTCATTCTAAAATAGAGTATAAATGATTTAGCTAGCGTAACTTTGATATGCTCGAAGTTTATTATCAAAGAATTGATTTATTGAAAAAAAAAAAAACAATTTTAAAGAATTTTCAATTCAAAAATGCTTTCTTTGTAAATATGCCATAAAAATCTCGAAAAAAAAGCCATCTTACCCTATATATTGTGAGTCAGTATAATGGCAATCGTCAATCACAGTGCTCATCTATCCGTTGGTTTGTTTGACCGCAGTACACGCGGGCTCATTAATATCTAACGTGTTTGTTTTACTGAGAACAAGACTTCAACAGTTTAATTGTCCAACCTTTTCATTTGCTGTTTGTTAAAGCATTGATAAGAAACGCATGTTTATAAGACAGATGTGGCAAAAGYAAATGATATAGCGCCGTGAGTGAATGCTTCACATATGAAGTTTTTTGATAAACGAGAAGTCTTTCACAGTTCCTGTCAAGTTTGCAGAGCGAAACTACTTTTCTGATTGAATTTCATAATTTTTTAACTGTTCATGTGTTTTGCACTGCTGTAGCTTCAGTTACCCTAAAAGAAACTATAAAAAGAAAAGAGAAATAAGGAGTGCAACTAAAAGATGTCAGTAACTGGGAAAGAAAAAAGCTAGAAAACAATGACACGAACTAGAAGAAGAAGAAGAAGGAGGCGGAGGAGGTGGAGAGAAGAAGGAGGAGGAGGAGAAGAGGAAGTAGAAGTATAGACGAAGAAGAAGAACACGAAGAAGAAGAAGGAGGAGGAGGAGGAGGAAGACGAGAAGAAGAAGACGA